AATCAGTGATGCATATAATTTTGGGGACTCATTATATCGATTAGAAGAATTGAACAAATGCATGTCTTCTCTAATTTTTTTTGATTTTTTTTTTTACAGAAATTTGCGTCGGCGGTGATTTGATGCTCTGTGACAGCTTCTGCGCAACTGTTTGCGATGGCAACAAAGAGTGCCTTTATGGCCAGGACGAGGCTAACTGCAGTGAGTTATCTCCCTTATTTCTTTCCTCTCTACCATCGATCGCTTAAAACTGAAAAAATTAGCTTAATTTTTGCGTAGCTTACGCCTTCGTACGCCTCGGGCTTTCGTCAATATTCGGCAAAGAATTCACTTTCCATCTTATAGCATCGCTGCTGTATTTGCAAAGGAAATTACCATTGCGTCGGCAATGTGTAAAATTATATGCAAAAAGAAATGCAAACATCTGAAATGTATGGAAGCACAACATAGATATATTAACAAAAACAAACGTACATTGACATAGAAGCGTGTAGCCTGCGCGCTTACATATAAAAATATCGAGCGCCTATCACGTGCAAAGAGTTCTATCCAATATTTACATGCGGTCTATTCTCCTAATCTTTGTTGTTTTTATCACAAAATTTCGGCCGTTTTGCTCGCCAGCCTTCCTCAGGTGTATATCGATATGGGTAACCTAAATGGAATTCTGAACTGAACACTTTATTTAATCTACGAAGGCAGACTGTTCTCGTTCCACCTCCCATGTCTAGAGATATCTCTAGTCTAGATCTTATTTTTAGTAGTGCTCAGTTATTGCTCACCTTGATTCCACACTGTCCGGCCCAGTGATTGACTTCAATAGTCGATTAAACCGTTTGTTTGTAAATAATGATGAATAGTCACCCCAGAAATGAAGACATAATGTTCTATCCAACTTGGAACTGAATTCAGGATATGCTCTTAAAAAAAAAAACAGAAATTACACTGATCAATACGTTTTTGATGCCAAGAAACAAAACACGTTTTTTAGCTAATTGGATGGTGTTGATTCCGAAAATAACCTTAGTTGTTTATGGTTAGATACCATTTTTGCTGTACGGAAATTGCTCATTTTTTGGGAAAAAAAAGATCATTTTACAATCTTGGCCGATCGCAAAATTTACTTAATAAAGGGCGTAGAAACTCATCAATTTTCAGGTAGACCGAGCAATTTATGTCAGTCACTTAATATGAATTATTTTTATAAGAAAAACGTGTTTTTAAGTCAAAACTTTTAAAACAGAAATACCGAATTTTTTCCAATTTATCGCCCAAATTCAAATTAACTGATAAACATTATCAGTAATACACTTGAGTAAACCTGATAATTAAGGTGGCATAAAAAAAATGAAACCCTAAAATCTTCTGTTTGATATTCATAAATTTATCCCTTCACTACGGAAGGAAACCAAGAATATTGAGAGCATTTTGTTTTCATAGTTGGAAAGAAACTCCAACTAAAAGACATCCCAATTGAATGCACCTATTCCATTGTACATGATACTGCTGGAATATCAAAAGGGATTTAAATAACATTGAATATGACAATCAAGAAAGAGATCATTTTTACCATAGTTCTTATGTTCACAAAGGTTTTATTTCTGCTTATTAAATAATTTGATGAAAATACTTGTTGGTCTTAATATATTCAATCGTGTTATTTTTAAAGACTTAAGGTTTGATTGTCAACAACGCTGGTGCAGTGACTTGCAGAAATGCATTATCGTAAACGATGCTAGTAATATGACCTGATTTTGTTTTACAGTAATTAAATTTTAACTGCTTTAGAAGCGTTTTTATATTGAAAGACATTTAGATAATTTCAAATTGATTAGTTACGTATTTAGTCTTTTTTTATGTTGTATATACTTTCATTTGTGGCTTTTGTTTATTTTATAAGATTTCCTTTTGATATTGTATATAAAATAACTCGGATAACGGAGTATTTTCAGCCACCTTCCTCACCTGTGTGACGAGCCGGTTTAGTCGCTGATGACCCGACCATTCAGTAGATATTACCTGGTTACACATTACATGTAACAGTAGAAGAGTGACCTGTCATAATATATACCAAATAGATAAACTCAATAACTACACTTTCTTTTTGTCTCTCTTAATACCTTGAAGCCACTGAGAGCATAACGACACCACAAGTGACATCACCTACGTCAATCCTTACAACGCCAAGCAGCAGTTTCTCCACGTTCACCCCATTTCAACCTGGTACTGGGACGGGAACAGGATTCACCACTCAGATGTATTCCACTTTAACAACACTCATGCCCACAACGACAGGTAAGCAAAGACCCAGTAATCAGCCATTTGCAATATCATTTTGTTCCTATCTAATAGTGTACATCATATACAACTTTCACATTTTGCATACATATCACCAGAATATTTTGCTAACGATAAATTATCGATCTGTATAAAAACCAATGTCCATTGCTTGGCAATGCACAAAACCTGTCACGCTCACCTCTTGATCCGATCGAAATGTCTCGATCAAATACACCTCTCATATTTTGCATACAGAACACCAACATAATCTACATAAATTTTTGAATTTAGGGTTGTCCTTCTCTTAGACTGGTTGCCAACAACGGCAATTGAGTCAAATCTTCAGTACTATTTAACCCATAACAAGAGCGAGAAGGGAGAAATTTACACATTTCTTAAGGGTATTTTCCCTAACTGATGGATTGATTTATTTTCTAAGGTTTACTTATGGTACCTAGACTTTATGAATTTAAGAGCAATATTAAATCGGAGGCAAGTTCTCATCGTTTTCAGTCGAAATGGCTAAATGTAACCGTAAGTTCTATGCTAAAAGTTCCTTCTATTGTTTGTGCAGTGTCAAACGTCATCTTCCGTTTTCTTCATTCTTTTTCTTTTATTTTCCTCTCTCTTTAATAGTAGTTTTTTTTTTTCTCATTTTATAGCACTCATTAACCCCCTTGCGTCTTGATGGCTTTATTGCCTAGCTTGGGGTAATTAAAAAGAATTGTGAATTTTGATCAAATAAAAGAGAAAGAAAAAAAAGTTACTATTATAATTACAAAGTCATTCTTTCGTTTATTTCATTTTTCAGAGTGCAAGTTCCCTTATTTCGAAACAAGCTGTGAGAAAAAATGCAAGGAAGAATGCCATTCTGTTGCTCACCTTAAGAAATGTGATCCTACCGAACACTATGAATGCAAACCAGGTAAGTCACAATTTTTACCCCGTCCCGCCATCGACATACTACATCGCTGGGTTATAATGGCCGACTCGAAAATGGCGGGAAATGCGCCTTCTTCCCGGATTTATACAGTGACGCTACCCTACAGAAACTGGAGACTATTATATTCCGTGCTAATAGGAATATATACTTGAACACGGTGGAATAAATACGTAAAGGCTTATTGTAGAAACCAATACAATAAGAAATATTTTGATAGCTTTTTGAAGATCTTTAAAGAGACATTGCAGTCTGAAGGGACTGCAATATACCAATAATGTCAATAAAGGGGCAATTTTTTTTGTTTGCGGTCTTTAATCATGAATTATTATTATTATTATTATTATCTAAGATCTGATTTTTTTTTTTGTTCCCTAAAGGCTGTGATCTGACGCCAGGATTCGCCGAAGACATTGATGGTCCTGTGAAAGAATCAAGATGCCATTGTTTTGATGAAGTCAACAACGTTACAAGAGATGTACGTTAGCCTAGACATTTTTTTTAAAATCTAATCTTTCCTTATTTCTTACGCACATATATTGAAATAATCTGATTATAAGGGATTACCACACCCGTGATATAATAAATCAACTATTAAAATTCAAACTAGGAATCAAAATAAACAACTCTTTGGTTATCTTAAAACAACGCCAGTTCCGACATTGATCTATATATATATAATCGACTCTCCCGTCGCGTTCGACCTATGGTCAGGCCGATAAGTCCCCAGGAAACCGACACCGGCATGAGATTTGATTATAGTGGTGCAGGCCACGTGCAGGACCAGCCACTTTTTGGAGGGACGAATACAGAAATGCACCTGAATATAGGTTCCCAAACGACCATAGGTTTTAATTAGTTGTCCTTCTCCTAGACCAGTTGCCATCAAGTCTGTCCTGCTATTTTACCCATAGCTGGAGGGAGATGAAGAGGATACATACCTTTCCCAAGGGTATTAGCACGTAAGTGAATGTAACGGATTCGACTGGAATTCGAACTCAGCTCTGCGATTCCTCAATCCAAGCCGTTATCCACTGCTCCACCGTGCCTCCTCACATTATGAAATGGACAAATTCCGACAATTATTTTAAGACATTTTTATGTTTATACATTCTTTTTATAGATACAAATATTTAAGTAAATGCTCTGTTTATAATAAACAGTATTAAATAAAATTTACCGGCCTGAATGTCCGAGAAATTTTCACAGAAAATATTCGTCCTCCGACAGGATTCGAACCTGTATCCTATACGGAACCGTCATTTAGCTTGACGTGCCTTAACCGATTTGGGTGCGTTCGGTTAGCAAGGTTGATTTTACTGTCTTTAAACTACAATCTTCCATGATTTTCCCACGTACATTCATATCTGCTCATGGCGTATCAAATGTAAACCAATGACGTCACACATTATGAAATGGACAAAGTCCGATAATTATTTTAAGACATTTTTATGTTTATACATTCTTTATATAGATACAAATATTCAAGTAAATGCTCTGTTTTTATAATAAACAGTATTTATAACATTTACCGGCCGGAATGTCCGAGAAATTTTCATAGAAAATATTCGTCCTCCAACAGGATTCGAACCTGTATCCTATACGGAACCGTCATTTAACCTGACGTGCTCTTAACCGATCGAGCCACAAAGGTTGTAAATTCAATCTTGCTAATCGAACGATTCTCTGTATTTGTCCGAAAGGAAATATAACAAACTCAACCGGAACTCCAATTAACAAATACGAGCCATTATCCATAACATCATCCACATATCCAACCTTACAACACTTCGTATTCCCAAGTGGTCACCCATCTAAGTAGTGACCAATCTCGACGCTGCTTAACTTAGGTGAGCGTACAGAAACCAGTGTTTCAACCTGATATGGTTGTAAGCCTGGTGTAAAGAGAAAATGAAAGTGGATGGTTTAAAACCAAAGGAGGTCATTTTAAAAAAAATCAATAATAATTGTCATAACCTATTTTTAATGTCATATCCTTTTAGGAAATAGACTCGCAATAATTTCTTTTTTGTTATTTGTGAACTGTAATGACTTCCTGGGGAATAAGAATGGTCCATTATCCTCTCCACAATTTGAAATTCAGAGTTTTCCTTACTTTATACCTGTTGCCAACCAACACTATAAAACTAAGTCTACCCTGCTATTTAACCCATAGCTTGGAGTTGAGAAGAAACAGATCCAGGGTGTTAGTGCGGCGGGTACTTCAACTAGTCTGGAAATATTCTAAATTGTTCTTTTCTTCTTTAAATTTTAGGCTTATGAAAAATGGGAAAGAGGCTGCGACAAATGTGAATGCCTTAACAACACAGTCAAATGTGTCAATCCATGCGGTAGTCTAATGTGTCCGCCGGTAAGTAACTTGAGATTTTCTTATTGACACTATTTATATGCAGACTATTGTTCTCATCTTTGTTGTTGTTATCACAATGTTTCGACTGTTGCATACACCGGTCTTCATCAGGTGTATATCGATCCGGGTAACCTACAGTGAATTTCGAACTGAACTTTGTTCATTTTTTGTTTTTGCTTGTTACTCATTTAAACTTTAATTTGCTTAATTAATCTATCTATCTATCTATCTATCTATCTATTAAAAAGAGGTGAGACCCGCAAACGTTTTTGGTTATAATGTGGATTTTTAAAATATATATTATACTTTATTTTCCATATTTTCGCTACACGGGTTTCCGGTCTCGCGACTTTCATCAGGCAAATACTGGTTTTTTCATATTTTATTAAAATGAATTAATTTCCCTTATGTTTTCAGATGTTTAACCATTTTCTTTTATATATATATATATATATATATATATATATATATATATATATATATATATATATATATATGCAAATATATTGATAAAAATAGAAAAGAACCGTTAGATTGATGATCGAAATTCTTTAGTATTTTTATTTTTAAAAACAGTGCTCGATACACAAGTAGAGCGATGGAATCATATTTTTAAAAAAATCTAAAAAATTAATTATAACACACACACACACACACACACACACACACACACACACACACACATACATATATATATATATATATATATATATATATATATATATATATATATATATATATATATATATATATATATATATATATATATATATATATATATTCACTGCGATATAGGAAGACATATACCCCATAACGGTTCCATACTTTTTTCTTTGTTTCTAATGAAGTCTTCTGTGTCTTAATAATTTGCTTAGCTTTTGGAAGCCATCTTTGGCTATCCCCAATAAACCTACGGATTTCAGAGCCGCACTTTCCGTAATCTGTTAGAACATATCCAAGTTGCATTAGTGGACTATTTTTTTTTTTCTTTCTTAAACGGTGTTGGCTTTTTCGCTCGGACCATCAGTCTATGACAGTCATTAAACAGACATAAATAAGCGCTTTTTTTTTAAAACCTCCAGAAACCTGTCTGGCAGATGATCAAATTTAACCATAAAGACCGTTAGCTCAGTGCCATATTTATTATTAATTAAAGTTTGTTTTTTTTAAAAAAAAAAAAAAAGAAAAATATAATGATGAATTTTGAAAAGTAAATCTAAAAACACTAAATCGTTGAATAATTTTGACACATTTTTCATTTTTCTTAGGGACTGGAATTGCTAACCCCGGCTGGGAAGTGCTGTCCGGAATGTCGAGTCCCAATCAGTACCGTCTCTCCTCCTTCAATTGAAACGAGTGAACTGACAACGCCGCTACTTACAACGCCACAGATGAGCACTTCACTGCCCGAAATTACGGAGATAAGCACACGATCCACAATCATCGAATTAAGCACCACGTCCGTTTTACCCAGTGATGAAATAACGGGTAAAAGTGAGTGTCCTTTTGATTTTTGAATATTATATATATGTATGTATTTAGGCAGCAATCCTTCATTTATACATGTTTCATTAAAGACAACAGACAAAGTAATAGGATTGAGCTTTTGATTCAATTTTTCTTGTGTTCGAACAAGTTTTTTCTTTTTTGGAAGGTGTGTAGAAACTGTCCAAATGTTCTATAATTCCGAGCGCTTAAATGGGATCTAATAAATCCTTGGTCAGATAAGTGTAACGTAAGGCGTCTGGATAGGCATGTTGTAGTGTGACCTATGTAATTATTTATGAATTCGGTTTGATCAGGAACACAGTTCCTTAAGGGGCATTTGAACTCATAGATAATGTTTTTGATTTTGTTTGTGTGTTGTTATTTTTTAGGATAAGGTGAGCTATTTTAAATTTTTTGTAGTAGATAATTAATTTGATTTTTTTGTTTGTTCGGGTTAATTGGGGTAGTGTATTGTTAAATAGTGTCTGATTCGCATTCTTGAGTTCTTTAAGGAATAGTCGAGAGGGTGAATTCTGGTGTGCTCTTTTTAGGAAGTTTACATATATATATATATATATATATATATATATATATATATTCGGTTGTATGGATATGAGTTTATGACTCTGAGTTTCACGCTTTTATGATCATCAGACAAATTAGATTTATTTTGGTTTATTGCCGTCAATAATACACCAGCAGCCAGCGTTAAAAGTACAAACATCATCATCGCCATACCCACAAACAGAACCCAAAGACTAAAACCAATAGGACAGTATGTGCGCGTCTACATGTGAGTATGTGTGTGTGATAAAGTGTAAGGTTTGACGATAGATCTGAAAAGCATTGTCTGCTTATTTTTAACATAATCCGTTCATACTCACGAATAACCTTCCGTGTATTGCAATTAAATGTTGTGAGACATGTGCTAAAAACGGTTCCTTTTATAGGCATTCCAGAACATTACTGCAGTATTCTTAGCTGTTTCTATTCAGTGTCGACAGAAAAACAAATATATATGTTGGATATACGACAACTACATTAACAAAACGTCTACACGTCTGACGATTCGTCCTTTACGTGACATCTACATCAACATTCCTCTCTACATTCATAGTATAAAAAATACTGATTGATAACACAACTATCTTACACCAAGAAAATAACAACTTCAAACTACAGATCCTCGAAGCAATCTACATTAAAAAAAATTAAAGCCGACACTGAATAGAATCAGCTACGAATATCGTAATAATGTTCTGAAATGCTTATAAAAGGATCAGCTTTTAGTATATTTCTCATATCATTTAATTGCAATACACGGATGGTTATTTGTGAGTTTGAACGGATTATATTAAAAATAAACAGACAAATTGTCTGTAATATATTTAATCAGAAATATATATGTATATATATATTTGGTTGGATAGATGTGAGTCTGTGACCCTGGGTTTCACGCTTTAGCGATCGTCAGACAAACTGATTAATGTTTTAAAAAATTTGGGTTTATGTAGATTGCGTGTATTGGTGTTATTGTGGAAGTGGTGGGGAAATTTATATATATATATGCGTGTGTGTGTGCGTATACACACACATGTGTATATATATATATATATATATATATATATATATATATATATATATATATATATATATATATATATATGTTTCTGATTAAATATATTGGACATTGATTCTATCCTCTTGGAAATTATATATATATATATATATATATATATATATGTATGTATATGTATGTGTAAGTATGTATATATGTATTTATATATTTTTATATATATATATATATATATATATATATATAAAATATGTGTGTGTATTAACCACTAATATTATCTATCTAAATATATATATATATATATATATATATATATATATATATATATATATAGTCGGTTCAAAAGCCTCCTCGGTCTTTTTGAACAGAAGGATAACTATAGTCCTTGTTCCATGATTAGGATTGGCTTTCCTTTTCCTTTCTAAAATCTCATTTTCTTTCACTCCTAGTAGTTCCTTGCGTCTTAGGGGAATTATCGCCTTGCTTAGGGTGAATTGATTAAAACATGCTTGTGTTAAAATGACCGTTTCACGTTTATTCAACCCGTATTACTATCGATCAAAAACGACGTCTCGTATATCGTTTCGAGTTTATAAAGAAATTTAAAATATGCCTGCGCGTCTTGTGATTCTGCGAATTTCCATTTCTTTAAGATTGGGTTTTTAGATTGACAGACGTTAAACACGTTTTTTTTTTCTCACTGAAACCAAACAATATCTCGCTTCCCTCGTGATCAAAAAGGAATAGTCCATTATTTATGAGTTATTGGCAGGACGTAACGAACGTGCTAACTCTGGAAGAATTGGACAAGCAGTATTATAAGATTGATTTGTCCGGACACATTTTCCTTTTAAACGTTTCTCTCGTAACGTTTCGGCCGTTGTAGTCACCGGTTTTCTTCAGGTGAATCCCGTATTTGGTAATGTTTCGGCAATTTAGAACTGAGCCCGTTATTCACTGCAAGGATGTAGATTGTTACCATTCTTTTGTTTCTGGTAGAAGACATCTGGTATCAGTTAAAATTTTTCCCATTTAATTAATTCTCCGAATGCTGCTTGTCTCTTTCACAGAACCAGAATACCAGGTAAGTTTTTAAATATCCAACAATGGGTGTGAACTGACGATTGGCAGGCAAACTTGATTTGCCTAGCCTAACGTGTTTATCTGCTATGCCACCGTGGTGGTAGCGTAGTGAGGGTTCAAAAGATGATTTATTCCTTTTTCGAAATCTAAATTGGTAATTAATTTTATTTTTCTTTGCAGAATGCGACGAGACAGATTGGATGTCTGCTGATAATCCTGTGTTGATTGACGACAGCCAAATCGAAGGTTACCCAGAGGGCAAAGGTACCCCGTCTGATGCTCGGGTCAACCGAAACGGTTGGTCAGTTCCGGTCAACGATCTCGAACGGCCATACTTGGTCATCAATTTAGCGGATGACAACGAGGAACCTGTCGAGGCTCTCAGTCAAGAATTAATAACAAACGCTGGACGCTACACAGTCTATGTGAAAGAAAAGATCAATGACACTTGGCGATTGATTCCTGGGGATATTGATTCTGATGTAAGTAAGCAAAAACAAACACGCTTAGACGCCTACACAGATTTAGGATATGTGTTTCGTGTGACATTTTACATTGAACTCTTTAAATTTACAACGTTCCTCTTCTATGTGCCGTGTTTCTTTAGGACGTTAGCGGCCATGGTTCTCTACAACTTCCTGTCTTTTGTAGCTCTTAATAAATGTTGTCTTTTGTTATCTCTCCCTAACCCTGTTCTGACATCCATTTACACAAACTCGTTAGGCAGTTTACACGCCTTTTCTTTCTATCTCTGTTGCCTTGTGAGTGCCAAATTTTCCACGTCCTCTTTCTTCGTTGCGTGTCCTTGAAATTTCAACTGCCCCGTTCTGATGTTAAGTATGTTTCCTTTTTTTTCTAAAACTTCGTCTTTCTTAAATGTTCAGTCCATTAAATTCTCAGCATCCTTCTGTAGAACCACTTTTCTGTTGATTCACGTCTCTTCTTCATCTATGAGGAGATTGTCCAGTATTTATTGCCATATAGGAAGACTGATATTATATAACAGTTTAGCACTCTTTTTCCGTTTTCTATTTTCTGTAAGACATTGTGGTTGCTCACATATTCAGCCCATGATATTCTCAGCATCCTTCTGTAGAACAACATTTCTATCACCTCAAGTTTCTTCTTCTTCTGTGTCTAACATTCACTGCCATATAGGGGAACCGATATTACATAATGTTCAGTACTTTCATTGTTTTTAATAAAAATTTCCTGTTTCTTAATACCTTGCTGGGCTTTTGGAAGGCATCTTTCGCTATTTAAATCGCCTTCGGATTTCGGTGTCACACTTTCCATACTTTGTTAAGGACTGCCAAATCTAATAAAGGGAGATAACTGAATTGTAAAATATTTGTTTTTATCGACTTCTTCTATGTGCTATGTTCCTTTAGGACTTGGTCGATCATGACTTCCCACAATGTCCTCCCCCTTGTAACTCTAAGCTGTGTTTATCTTTTTAATATCCCCCCCACTCTCTATTCAGCTTTCTAGTTACGCAATTTTTTAGGTAGTTCATTTGCGGTCTCCTCCTTCACCTCTTTCATTCGGTATATCCTTTAAAGTGTCAAATTTTCCAAGCCTTCTTTTCTCATTATTTGTCTCAAGAATTTCAGCCGTTTTTTTTTATAAGTGTCATTTTAATTGCTATTTCCTTAAAACTTTCTCGTTTCTTACACACCCATCCATAGTATTCTCAGTATCCTTCTGTAGAACTGCATCTCTATTGCCAGTAGTCGTGTCTTTTCGTCTGAGAGAAAGTTTTCGAGCATTCACTTTCATACAGGGGGGGATATTTTTTGTGCTGGTGAGATGGAAAAGTACTAGGAATGGGGGAAAAAGTCAAACAATTATGTCCAGACCCCCAAAAAAGAAGAGTTATTGAGCAAAATTTAATGGGAAAATTAGCTCAGGAGGTGGTATCGTCTGGGGTGGTAGACAGCTACCCGACCCCGTGCATACGGGATCAACGGGGAAATTTTACCCGAGCCTACGCGTTAAAAATCCCCAGACAAGGCTATGTCGAAGGGCAGAGTCTCGTCTCGGGAAACAGCTACCCTCCCCGTTTTATATGGGGAATTTTTGCCGAGCTTACGGGCTCGGATATCCAACATTAAATTCGGTCTTGTCCCACATCTGACCGCGTGGGGCTGTTGGTAGATATCCTTGCTTCGGGAATTACTAGCCTGCCACCCGATTCCCTGTCTTTTTTTTCTTTTATTTTTTTTTAGTAGTGAATTCTCTTTTACAATAAACATCTCTTTCTTTCATCCACGCGCATGTTGCTGTTCTTTCATTCGAGTACCACCTTTGTCTGTTTGTAACCTCTTTAAGGATACAACAGTTATACCACGTAGCATTCTTTTTTCTGTGTTTCTAGGGAATTTTTCTGTTCCTTTGTTTAGTTTTTGGAAGGCATCATTTGATATATCAATGTGCCTTCAGCTTTCAGGACTCGTTTTCCGTTATCTGTTAAAACGTTACCTCGGATATTTAACTTAATACATGTTTGATTTTGATGTACACCTTTTGTGTCGTTTCTTTTAGTCTTTTTTTTTTTGTGTGTAATTTTATTTATTATATATATATATATAATTTTATTTAACTCCCATATATATACAGGGTGGTCCAAAAGTAGATGGACTGTATGTGGAATAGGTTTATGTATCAGTTATATTATTACAACTGAGTATCTTGATGGAACATTTCCTGAGAAATGGATTGGCCCAAGAGGCCCAACTGATTATCCGTCACGTTCACCAGACTTGACCCCAATGGATTTCTTCTTTTAGGGAGTACTCAAGGATGAAGTTTATAGTCGAAAACCAAGAAGTGTTAATGATTTGAAAAATTACATAAGAGATGCATTTAAAGAAATTAATACCAAAAAGACTTGTGCAAAAAAGTTTGTCGAAGCGTTAGAGGTAGACTTCAAAGCTGTGTAAATTGTGGTGGAAACCAGTTTGAGCACCTGCGTTGATAAAATTTAAGGGCCTTCGTATTATTGTTCACAATAAAATTTAAGGGCTTTTGTATAATAGTTCACAATAAAATTTAAGGGCCTTTGTATTATTGCTCACAATAAAATTTAAGGGCCTTTGTATTATTGCTCACAATAAAATTTAAGGGCTTTTGTACTATTGTTCACAATAAAATTTAAGGGCCTTTTTATTGCTCACACTAAAATTTAAAGCTTTTTGTATTATTGTTCTAATAAAATTTAAGGGCCTTTGTATTATTGCTCACAATAAAATTTAAGGGCTTTTGTATTATTGTTCACAATAAAATTTAAGGGCCTTTGTATTATTGCTCACAATAAAATTTAAGGGCTTTTGTACTATTGTTCACAATAAAATTTAAGGGCCTTTGTATTATTGCTCACACTAAAATTTAAGGGCCTTTGTATTATTGTTCACAATAAAATTTAAGGGCCTTTGTATTATTGTTCACAATAAAATTTAAAGGGCTTTTTTGTATTATTGTTCACAATAAAATTTAAGAACCTTTGTATTATTGTTCACAATAAAATTTAAGGTTTTTTTTATTATTGTTCACAATAAAATTTAAGCCTTTTTGTATTATTGTTCACAATAAAAATTTAACGGTTTTTGTATTATTGTTCACAATAAAATTTAAGGGTTTTTGTATTGTTGTTCACAATAAAATTTAAGGGCCTTTGTATTATTGTTCACAATTAAATTTAAAGGGTTTTTGTATTATTGTTCACAATAAAATTTAAGGGCCTTTGTATTATTGTTCACAATAAAATTTAAGGGCCTTTGGATTATTGTTCACAATAAAATTTAATTGTCAATATAATAATTGTGTTAGTAAATATAACTATGTAATTATTTACCGTCCACCTACTTTTAGACCAACCTGTATAATTAAGATAAGATATAATTTTATTTCAAGATATTTTAAGATAAGATATCATTTTATTTCAGTACCATTCGCCTCGTCTCATCCACGACTTTCCACCCAATACTTTCATCAGAGCCATCAAAATCACATTGATTGAACCGTTGACTGAAAACCAAAAGATCTACACCGTCCAGTTGAAGTTGAATGCCTGCATCGAAACCTTACTAACCACGCCGGCCAGCCTCGTATCAACGGCGACAACCACGGCAAAGCGAACGGAATGTAATCCGGATGAAATCTATGATGTGTGCCGTTGTACATCGAACTGTGACGATATACTCTCTGGCCGCGAATGCTCAGTCGATGCTAGAATTATCGATAATAAAGGTAACGTGATACAATTGTCTTTACTGTGTGTAACATATTCTGACACGTGACCGAAGATAGACATTTCCTAATTAACGTTACTTCCGCTAACAGAAATTCCGATGGTTCGTTTCCTGTCCATTCCGGACCGGAAATTAAAATAAACTGACATCCGCTGACTTGAGACGTGTCCACTAAGCAGTAAAGTCTCTGTTTTAAGCGAACTATGGAATTTTTTAATTTCATACAGACATTCAAAACTTTCATAATCCTCTTTTTCTTATCAGACCGATCAAAGTGAGTTTTTTGAGCTGCCCTACCTTCGTAATCAACATTTGACTAATCCAACTCTTTCCAAATCCTCTACACTGTCCTCAGATTGACACCTGAACACTGTGAAATGTTTGTATTGGGGCTTCCGGCACGAATGCCAAGCAGTACAGCATGCTGTTTCTAAATTTCTGGCGGGGTGAATTACGTCATGGTGCTCTTTTCCTCACAGACGCAGCCCAAATGACCGTACTATACTGTGCGGTCGACAAAATTAAAAACATGCAACGCGCATGCGCGAAATTAAAAATATAATATGATGACTCTGTAGATTGCGGGCACGAAATTCTTGCATCGCCCTTGGTGTAGTGCATGAAGAGTGCATCGAAAAAAGTATTGCGATAAAAAATGCTGCCATATTGAGTTGGGCTAAAAAAAATCTAATTTTCACTCAATACAAGCCTCGAGCCACTCAAGACAGGGTGATACTGAGTGAGGTGCGTGATATGAATATAAAAGTGCGAAGTAGAAAGTGAGTCTGATGTGGATTTGGAGGATAGATAAAAGTTGACACTTGTCTGTAGCGTTCGGGAATCATCATGAGATAAAGATGCCTAGATAAAACTTCCTCCTTACAAATGGAACACGGAGGAAATAAGCGTAGGTAGAATGTAAAGAATGTGAATGTGGTTGTAGCATAAAAATAACCGGTCCCATAAATGTGAAATTGGCAAATCGGGTTCAAATTCTGTCCTAGACATGCTGCATTCACTTTTGGACGAATACACTTGGATGATCAAAAATCTATATTCTTAGCACGATGTATGAAATCGTAAGGCAGATTAATCGTTCTTGCCTTATTTGACAGCCTGTCTAAGAGAAAGACAACTCTGAATTCAAACTTCCGCTGCCTTGCGCACATATCCAAGCATGAAAAAAATGGCTATGAATGAAAAATGATCGTTATTGTTTTGGATTGCATCAGTTTGGTCAAAAGAGAGGCCTTGCTATCTAGAAATCGCACGGCCTTCATACACCAACATGGAGAGCTCACTCCATATTGACCACCCAATGATCTTAACCGAGCAGCTATTGTGTTCCGTGGCTTCAGGTCTGCAGTGTCAACACACCTTCATAGACTGTATCAACGAAAGACAGTTTCTTTTTCTAATTCGTTTAATTATGCAAGAGAGGCAGAGGCGTTTATATCGATTCTAGGAGCTACTGGGAGGAAGAACCTCAGGGAAACCCATGCCCAATCTTTGACTTAGGATTCTGCCGCGTGCGGCCTTAGCCTGTCTAGGGAATCCGGGTGTGGAAAGCGTGGCGGCGCTTTGAATTTATTGCGCCCCTCTGCCAACTTCGGATCGATTTGGTCTCTTAGGAAAAACTTAGACAAAGGAAACATACCACTGTAAGAATGCGACGCTTACGAGGTATTTTGATCAATCGCTGGACATCCTGGACCAGACTCTGCATTCTGTAACACAAGACGCCTCATTATCTCATCCAGAGTGTTTTGTGGATTAGATTGCCTTGGTGGATTTTTATGACATATCAACACCTAGTTATATAATAATGAGCTTTTATTTTTCTTATTTTTAATAACATTTCAGTACTTAGATAATCATTGACAGGGCTTATACTTGATTCCTTACGATAAAATTAATCTGCCTTACGTGGGAGGAAGTAAAGAATGGTTGCATTTAAACTTTGCTTTATGCGTAAACATTGGTCGGGCTTCAACGTGAGTCTATTGGTAAACAATGGCCAACGTGTAAGCTTGAGTCTATAGGTAAACATTGGTCAGGCATCAACGTAAGACTATAGGCAAACAATGCCACCTATAAACTTGAGTCTATAGGAAAACACTGGTTGTGTTTAAACGGGAGTCCGTATGCAAACAATAGCCAACGTATAAACTTGAGTCTATAGGTAAAACATTAGTCGAGTTTGAACGTAGGCAAACAATGGGCACATGTAAACTTGAGTCTATAAGTAAACATTGGTCAGGTTTCAACGTGAGTTCATAGGCAAACATTTGCTAGGTTTATTCTCAAGTCTGCATGAATTCCCATGAAATGTGGCCCCTTTTACGATGCGGCCGAGTTATTTGCGGTGCCCCTGCCAGGGCAACCAGGGTGTGGTAATAAAAAGCAACAATTTTATGATAGCTTCAAACCAGTAATAGAATGACAAAAATGAAGGAATTTCATTTATAATTAAATAAACAATGTTGAATCTCTATTTTATTAAAGACAAAAATGATTAACCAGAATTGCAGATTAAAACGGTCTGATTTCTTTCAGGATTCTGTTGCCAATGCCCCGAAGGAATGGTTTACAATTCAACCGGACATTGCATCAGTAACGAAACCTGCGTCTGCGTTGACCAAAACGGAAATTTTTCGCATAAGGTTTGAGTTGTTTTTTTAATAAAATTCTGGGGTGTATCAAAAAATATTTTACAGATATTTGGGGCAGTTTCCTGACACCAAAACAAGGACAAAAGTATCTGTCTAATTCTAAGATGAGGTATTATGTACATTATTTACATTATTCGCACTATTGTCCTCATCTTTGTCGCCATATTTATTACAAGGTTTCGGCCCTTCAGTATCTGTCTATATTTCTGAGATGAAGTATTATGTACATTATTTACATTATTCGGACTATTGTCCTCATCTTTGTCGCCATATTTATTACAACGTTTCGGCCTTTCAGTATCTGTCTATATTTCTGAGATGAGGTATTATGTACATTATTTACATTATTCGGACTATTGTCCTCATCTTTGTCGCCATATTTATTACAAGGTTTCGGCCTTTCAGTATCTGTCTATATTTCTGAGATGAGGTATTATGTACACTATTTACATTATTCGGACTATTGTCCTCATCTTTGTCGCCATATTTATTACAACGTTTCGGCCTTTCAGTATCTGTCTATATTTCTGAGATGAGGTATTATGTACATTATTTACATTATTCGGACTAATGTCCTCATCTTTGTCGCCATATTTATTACAACGTTTCGGCCTCTCAGTATCTGTCTATATTTCTGAGATGAGGTATTATGTACATTATTTACATTATTTGGACTATTGTCCTCATCTTTGTCGCCATATTTATTACAACGTTTCGGCCTTTCAGTATCTGTCTATATTTCTGAGATGAGGTATTATGTACATTATTTACATTATTTGGACTATTGTCCTCATCTTTGTCGCCATATTTATTACAACGTTTCGTCCGTTGTACGCTCCGGCCTTCTTCAGGTGGTTGGAATGTAAAACTGAACCCTTTATTTCGCTCTCTCCAAGTTCTCCACTGCCTTAACCGGGTATTGAACTCACACTCTTTGCGTCCTGTCACTGGATCTAACTAACGCCTTTATCCGCTGTGAACTTGGAGAGGGAATTAACAGGAGATAGCTGATAACTGACATCCATTAAACATGGCACGTGGAACTAGAACAGTCTTTCCCAGTGAGCGAAATAAAGGGTTCAGTTCGACATTCTAACCACCTGAAGAAGGCCGGAGCGTATAACGGCCGAAACGTTGTAATAAATATGGCGACAAAGATGAGGACAATAGTCCGAATAATGTAAATAAGGACAAAAGTCTATATAAACATATGTCAACAAATCTTTCGTTTTTGAGTTATTATCTTTAAAGAAAGTTTACGGTAGATGGCGCTGTATTGCCATGTAGACTAGGTTACATTTGTCATTCGTGTGCATTTGTGGCTAGTCTGTCTTCAACGTTTAAGGCGTGTAGTAGCGAGTTAACAGAGAACTGATCCGTTTAACAATGGCAGAATATTCGTGAATATCGACGTTGCTTAACTTGTATGATCGTACGGGAACCGATGCTACAACGTGATATGGCCGTAAACGCGTTACGCCACCAGCATATCCAAGCTTTCAGCGGCTGTCATTACCAAGCAATCACCCATACCAGGCTCGACGTTGCTTAACTTGTGTGATCGTAATGGAATCGATGTTAGAACGTGATGTGGCTGTAAGCGTACTACACCACCAGCACATCCAAGCTTACGGCGCCTGTTATTCCCAAGCAGTCACCCATCTAGGTACTGACCAGGCTCGATGTTGCTTAACTTGTGTCATTCTACGGGAATCGATGTTAGAACGTGATATGACCGTAAGCGTACTACACCACCAGCACATAAAAGCTTACGGCGCCGGATATTCCCAAGCAGTCACCCATCTAGGTACTGACCAGGCTCGATGTTGCTTAACTTGTGTCATTCTACGGGAATCGATGTTAGAACGTGATATGACCGTAAGCGTACTACACCACCAGCACATCATCCTTACGGCGCCGGATATTCCCAAACCAGTCACCCATCTAGGTACTGACCAGGCTCGATGTTGCTTAACTTGTGTCATTCTACGGAATCGATGTTAGAACGTGATATGACCGTAAGCGCGTTACACCACCAGCACATAAAAGCTTACGGCGCCTGATATTCCCAAGCAGTCACTCATCCAGGTACTGACCAGGCTCGATGTTGCTTAACTTGTGTCATTCTACGGGAATCGATGTTAGAACGTGATATGGCCATAAGCGTACTACAACAACAGCACGTCTAAGCTTACGGCGCCTGTTATTCCCAAGCAGTCACCCATCTTGGTACTGACCAGGCTCGATGTTGCTTAACTTGTGTCATTCTACGGGAATCGATGTTAGAACGTGATATGACCGTAAGCGTACTACACCACCAGCACATCCAAGCTTGCGGCGTCTGATATTCCCAAGCAGTCACCCATCTAGGTACTGACCAGGCTCGATGTTGCTTAACTTGTGTCATTCTACGGGAATCGATGTTAGAACGTGATATGACCGTAGGCGTACTACACCACCAGCACATCCAAGCTTGCGGCGCCTGATATTCCCAAGCAGTCACCCATCTAGGTACTGACCAGGCTCGATGTTGCTTAACTTGTGTGATCGTAAACTTCTTGTTTGATATTTATTTTACTGGCTTATTGCAATGGATGATTTTTTTTCTGATTGTAAGGCTACGGACATATTGATTTACTTTGATATTACTATACTTTTTTCTTTCTTTTTTTTGATACAGCCTCATGAAAAATTCATTAAGAAGGATTTTGATTGTGACCAAGAATGTGTTTATAATTACGACTGTCGTCTCGATTGCGTCAACATATGTAACATTGTCTCATGTACAGAGGTAAGGAACATTTCTTATTTATGTCCTCTGTGCACTGTGTCCCTTGGAGACGTGAACGGTGATGGCTCTTTACAGCTTCCTATCCTGACTACCCTTCATTCTCTCTTCTTTTGACACAAGCTCATTGAAGCTGTCTCTCGATGTGTTCATTCGCTTCTATAAGTCTTCAAGATGTGCCATGAGGTCTCAAAATATCCAAGACTTGATTCCGTTTTATGTATTCCAGGAATTTCAACTGCCTTTTTCTGGATATTTTGTGTCTATTTTTCTTAAAAGTTCCTTGTTGCATACATTTTTCGCCCATGGTGTACACAGAATTCTTCTCTGAAACCACATCCATCTATCTATCTATCTATCTATCAGGCTTTTCCTATCTATCTATCTATCTATCTATCTATCTATCTATCTATCTATCTCAGTCTTTTCTTTAAAGTCTTTTCATCTATCTATCTATCTATCTATCTATCTATCTATCTATCTATCTATCTATCTATCTCTTAGTCTTTTCATCTATCTCTCTATCGATCTATATCAGTCTGTTCATATCTA